CTTACGTCTACACACATACATCCCAAATACCACACTGACTTGTTATTTACATGACCTGTTTCCAATGGCCATGCCACATGTGGTGGTGCTGGCCTATAATCCCAGTGAATAGGGAATCTGAGGCAGGAAGATCACAAGTTCAAGACTAGCCTGAGTAACTGAATGTGACTTTTTCTCAAAATAAAAAAATAAAAATAAATAAATAAATAACTGATGGAAATGTAGCTCAATGGTTATGGGAATGGGAATATTTGCATAAATTTTACCAATTGAGCAGCTTTAATTCAAAAATTTAAAATGTGAAATGCTCCCAAAGCCAAAACTTTATAAGCATCATGTCAGTGTTCAAAAAGTTTCAGACTTTGAAGCATGTTGAATATTGGATTAGGGATGTTCCACCTGTCTCATTCAAATCAGAGATAGAAAAGAAAGTAAGTTATGTGATAAGAAACTAATACTTGGTAGCTTGTCTAAAAATGCCTGACACTGGCTGAGTCCATTTCACATATTCTGTCATTTAGTCTTCACCCTAGGAAGGACATACTTCAATTTGATAAGTCAGGAAATTAAGACTGAAGGAGTTCAAAATCACACAAAAGTTACTGAAGACAGGATTCAATCTCTAGAACCTGTATTCTTTCTATCATATTGGTACAAATTCAGCTTCTCAGAGGTTGAGAGGTGGGAACAGCCACACCCAGAATGAAACAAGAGGTCACCAATGGATGAAACTTTGAAGTCTTGGTGGAGAAATGGGGTGCATTTTAGATGAAGGAATGCAGACAGGAATGGGTTAAACTTCAAAACTTGTGAATAGAGCATAGAATGATCCTGGAATAAGCTGAGCATTTGTGAGGAAAATTCATTCTAAGAGAAAGTTGAGGCTATAGTAAGGGATGTGGGAACTCTATTTCCAGTAGGTACCACTATTAGAAAAATAACAAGAGCATATATCATACTAATGATTGGACCTGAGCTATCTTTATATCTGAAGAGTAGCAAATAAAAAAAAACTGGTAATATAAGTATTTCAAAGCCCTTAGATTATTATGATTTTAATATAGACATGTACTTTTATCCAAGGTAGCAATACAACTACAGAAGTTGCAAGTGTCCTTCATGTCAAATTAACATCATAGAAGAAACAAGTAAATAGATACATTTCACAAATGTAAGGCATAAGTGATTGCATCCATTAATCTTTTAAATTATTTACATCATATTCTTCAGATATACTTTTGATTTTAACTAAGTACATGAATTGCCCAACTTGTTCATTTTGTGAAGTCTGATAATCAAAACACAAGATGGCCATACATAAAAGCATTGTGGTTGTTTTATTCATGTGTGTTTGGTGATGGTTTTACTTATCAAGACTATGTTTCAAATGACTCTTATAACTAATTGTGTTCCAATGACTAAATTAAATTGAGACTGACTGATCATTTAGATGGTAACATCACAAATCTATCAGGAGTCTAAAATGAAGACAAGGCCTTACATAGATCATCTATAGATCAAAGAAGTCCTAAACATATTTTTAAGACCACTATTTTTAAGTCTTTTGGACATAGGTTTCCCTTAAAGCAATTTTATGAGCTTAAATTTTATGGCAAATACAACCTTAAAGCTGTATAAAAAAGAAAAAAAATTCCCTACATTGAAATTAGTGGGGATATAGGTCTAATTAGTGAAAAGTCTTTAATGGCATTTATCGCAAACTGAGCTTTTGGGCTTCCACTTTTACATAATAAGTTAATATCCAATATTGTCAAACATAGATACCTACGGCCCCTGTTAAATGAATAAATATAATTTTATTTGACATACTATTATCAATTAATAATACAGCAATAGGTGATATAAAATATAAGTATTTGGCTTTGAAATTTTTCCTACATTTTAAATTTAGAAAATTAATCATAGATAATATATATACACATTTATCTAACCAATGTCAGATTTACCACAGAATGTAAATTAGCAGGAATCAACTCTTCACTATTTTATGGACCATTTCTTATTTTAGGACAAGAGGTTGATGGGCCAGACAGGAAGTAAGGCATGCTCTCTCTAATCCTCTAAACCTTTAAAAGAACCTCAAATACCATATTCTTCTTGAACACTCAAAGACATTCAAATATAGAGCAAAAAGTGATATTATAAATGACCCTTGTCTGTTCCTCTTACTTAGAGATGAACAAACTGAGACCTAAGAGAGACGAAAATAGATGGTTTTTGAGTGCATATATGATAAATTAAGGGTCAAAAATCAATGATTAAGAAGGCATTCCCATCAAAAAGTTTAAAAAAGAACAATACACTGAGTCTGGAGAAAATAAAAGGGTATAATAAAGACAAAAACAGGAATTATTGAAATGAAAAAGAAACATAAGAAAGGGATAACAATTCCAGAAGTTGGTTATTTGAGTAATAATAATAACATCCTAGCAGAATTGATGGAGAACATAGATAATCTATGCCAGGTGTAGGAATGGACATATTATTACTTTACATTCCTGGGATAAAATCTACTTGGTTGATATATTATACTTCTATATTTCCTTGAATATGATTTGTTAATACTTGTTAAGAATTTTCACATCTATATTCTTAGCTTTTGTCTGAAAATGTCTTTTATTTTATATTTGAAGAGCATTTGTGCTGAATGTACTATCCTACTTCTTGCTTGTTGCTTTAAAAGTAACTATTTCATTGAATTATGTTTTATATTTATTCTCCATGAAAAGTCACTAGTAATTTTTATCATTGTTATATTGTATGTATTATGGCTTTCATTCCCTCTGGTGGTTTTAAAGATACTTCCTATTAGTTTTCAGCAATTTGACATGATGTGCCATGCTGTGGCTTCCTGTGTGTTCTGCTGACATTTATAGAACTTCTTAGACTGATGACTTTGTTTGTTCTTCATTAAATTTGGGAGTTTTCCCATTATATCTCATAATATATGCTCTGTCCCATTTTTTTCCTATACTCTTTGAGATTCCAGTTGTTGATATGTGAAGCTGCATTTTTAAAGTTGTCTTTTCTATACTGAGGATTTCTATTCCCTCATTATTCTCATTTCCCTCTTGTAATGCTTAAAAATGTTTATGGCAACAGTTTTATAGTTCTTGCCTGCTAATTCTATCATTTTTTAGCTTTTTAGTCCATTTCTATTGACCAATTTTCCTGTTTCTTTGTATATCTAGTAATTTTCTACTGAAGGCTTGACATCATTTAAGGGTATGTTGTGAAGTGTTTAGATTTTTCAGTCTTTCTTGGTTGAGTGTTCAGTTTTGTTCCTATATTTCCTGTCTGTTCAAAATCCATTCTTTTTATTTTTAAAGCCATTTTATATGAGAAAGAACTTCTAAAACAGAAGCACCTTTGATTTTTTTTGAGACTTATTGTTAAACTTTTTAAGGGTGGGTATATAGTAACTTTAATTAGAGATAGACTAATTCTACTTCTAAAGCATAAGCTTTATAAGATATTTTCTGGAAAACAGAGGGTTTAATGCAGGCTGCCAATCATGCAGGAGTTCTGATAGTTGTTCAGACTGCAGATCTCTGGTGGTTATTCTTTTCCCAGTGTTTATGGATTTTGTCCAGGTTTATAGTTGTTTATTGTGGTAGTGCTAATCTGGTACATTATTCTGCCATAGCCAGAAGTATATATCCCATGAGAGAGTTTTTAGCCATATCTCAACTTTCCTTTGATCCTTTTTTCTTTGTCTTTTGACCTAATAATTGCCTTCTACTTTCCTATAATTCTCTAAGAACTCATAATTATTTAGCAAAAGACCCAAACCAGAAATTAGTTCTCAAAATTCAATCCAATGGGCCTGGGCTAGATGGCACAAGCCTGTAATTCCAGTGGTCAGAAGGATGAGAAAGGAGAATTAGAACTCTGAGGACAGCTTTAGCAACTAACCTGAACCCTAAGCAACTTAGCAAAACCCTGTCTCAAAAAAGGGGGGGGGCTCAGTGGTTAAGTGCCCCTGGGTTTAATCTCTAGTACTATGAAAAAAAAAATCAATCCAATGTTCTTGTCACTGTACAATGTCTTTTGTTTCCTGGAAGTAAAATAACATTCTAAACTAGTTTTAAGTTGCTCAAAACTTGATATATTTCTCTCCCTCTCTCTCCCCCTTCCTCTTTCCCTCCCTACTATTCTGTCTCATTTTTCTGTTTTGAGTAGATCTGCTGGTTTTATGTTTTAAAATATGGAACAGGTTCACTAATACAGTTAAAAAATGATCCATGCTGAGAAAATTTGCTTAAAAGCTATTACTGAATGAGTACTCTGACCACACAAAACTAAACAATCCAAAAAGTGTCTTAAGATAAAAAACACTACTAACATACTTCTTCCACATGTCTGTGTTCTTCATTTCCTACCTGAGAGCCATATAGTTTGCTCTTCCTCCCTGTGAGCTATTTTAGCTTCTTGTTAGATGAATAGACTTAGGCTCCACTTACTTTTCTTCTAATTTAAGTGCCTCAATGTTGATGAGATCTGCTCCTAGAATGTAATGTTCATCACTCTCTGTCCACAAAAGATCTATTAATTCATATTTATAAAGTATTAGTCACTTTAAAAATAAATATAGTATGGTATTATTACCTTTTAAGGAGAAGATAGATAAGAGCAGAGGAACAGGAATGAAACTAGTTTATAAAATGGGCCTTTAAGAAAGTATATTTAGGACTGGTGTGGTGGTGGTACATGCCTATAATCCCAGATACTTGGCAGGCTGAGGTGGGAGGATAGCAAGTTCAAGGACAGTCTGGGCAAGTTAGCAAGACTGCCACAAAATAAAAAACTAAAAAGGGATGAAGATGTATCTCAGTGGTAGAGAGAATGCCTAGCATAGACAAGGCCCTGGGTTCACCAATATGGGAGATGGGATGGAAGGGAGGTATATTTAAATTGCACTAGGTAAAAGATGAATAATTTAATCAGATTTTAAGAAGTGGTGGGTCTAATACTCTTACCTGTGAAGTTGGATATATTCTCGTGGTCTGTTGAGCAGGTGAAGAAATCTGTCAACAATCTTGTTTTTTCCTACACCCTGTAATTACACACATAGTATTATACAAAAAGGGACTTTTGTTTTGGTTGATTCTTCTGCCAAACCAGAAGAATCTTTTATAAAAACCTATTTTCCCAAAGTTGTACTATTTTAGTTTATTATTAATAAAAACCAAACTAGCAAAAATATATAGCACAATTCTCATATGAAATAAGGTTTCTGTCAAAAGTTTACTTCTAGATATATTAATTCTAAGCTCTTCTGTTTTAAAGGGAAATCCATAAGTTAGTCTCCTACATATTAATTATTTTGTTCTACAATTTTACAATGAAGTTCAGACATTACAGCAGAATATTTATTCCAGATTTGAAGAATGACATTAGAGTGAAATCATTTATGTAGGAAAAAAATGGGTTTTCTAATCAGTTCTTTAGAAATATGGTTCTTAGTTACAGGAAGACAACCAATATTATACATTTTCTGCTTTAATCAAACACTCACTTCTCCTTTTATCCTATTTTCTACTCCTTTAAAACCCTAGAAACCTAAAATTGTAACCAAGATATATTAATAAAACTCAACTCTATTTGATCTCCCCTGAAATGCCCTCATTTCTTTGCCACTTACTCATCCCAGGAGTCCATGTCCTTTCTAGAAGACACACTACTAAAAATAGAATCTGCTCTGGTACAATTTCCCTATTTTAAAGTTTTCACTTAGAGGTGGAATACAAATGACTCTTTTAACAATTAGGTTGTATGTAAAAAAGTAGAAGTCATTAATATGTGCAGTTTTATATCATAGGTGACACCAATAATGTATTAATTTCTTATACTGTGCTAGTATTTTTCACATTATTTCATTTAATCATTACACTGAGACAGTCCCGTGAAAGAAGATTATTCTTATTTCACAAATCAAGAAACCAATGCAACAGAGGAAAGATAGTAGAAGTGAGCTAGGCAGCAAGTCCCAATCGCCTCACAACACAGAAAAGAGGCAGCAAAGGAAAAGCATGACTGAGAGGTGAGTGACAAAATAAATGCTCGATACTACATATTCTGGGACCTGGAGAGACTGGATTATAGGTTACCAGAGAAGAAAATAAACTCAGAGTGCCCTAACTCTATCCCAAACCTGTGGATAAGTAAAAGGGGCAACAGAGAAAGAAGGGTTTATGGGGGTAGGGGAGACATTCTCTTAAGTTCTACCATTTAAAAACTGTTGGAAAGAAGAAAAAAAAAGATTTAAAGCACAACAGTAACAGACAGGTCTCTAAAACAGCTCAAAGAGCTTAAAAGAAAACTGAGCCAAGGGGTGGCAGCCATCTTGTGGAGCCCTCAGCCAACCAGTTAACCCCTTAAATCGGCAGGTTGTCTTCTCATACCCAGACAGCTGCAAATTACACCAGAAGAAAGTCCCCTGCAGTAGGACCTCTTAAAAATCCTATGAATCCAGCCAGAAAGAGCTTAAAAAGTACCACTACTGGCCAAAAGCCTCTAAACCCCTCCCTCACCCTTGCTGCTCACCTCAAACAAGAGGACTGATTTGTTTATGATTACATAAACAAACCCAATAAGCAAAAGATCAACTATACAGGGAGATAGAGGTAATAAAAAACAAACAAACAGAAATCCTAGAAATGCAGGAAAAAATTGAGAATACTACCAGCAGAATAGAACACTTAGAAGACAGAACATCAGACAATGAAGACAAAGTATTTCAACATGAAAAGAACATAGACAGCTCAGCAAGAGTGTTAAGAAACCATGAGCAGAACATCCAAGAAATATGGGATAACAAAGAGACCAAACCTAAGAATCATTGGGATACAGGAAGGTATAGAGGTCCAAACCAAAGGAATGAGCAATCTATTCAATGAAATAATATGAGAAAACTTCCCAGACTTGAAGAATGAGACAGAATCCTAAATCCTAGAAGCCTACAGGATGCTGAATGTGCAAAATCATAAGAGATCCACACCTAGACACATTATAATGAAGATGCCCAACATACAGAATAAGGACAGAATTTTAAAAGCTTCAAAAGAAAGAAAGCAGACTACATTTAGGGGTAAACCAATCAGGATAACAGCTGATTTTTCAACACAGACTCTGAAAGATAGAAGATCCTGGAATAACATATTTCAAACACTGAAAGAAAATGGGTTCCAACCAAGAATTGTGTATCCAGCGAAATTAAGTTTCAGGAAGGAAGATGAAATTAAAACCTTCCACGATAAACAAAAGTTAAAAGAATTTGCAGCTAGAAAACCATCTCTTCAAAACATCCTTGGCAAAACATTACAGGAAGAGGAAATGGAAAATAACAATGAAAACCAACAGTGGGAGGTAGGACAGTAAAGGGGGGAAAATAATCAAAGAGGAAAACAAACCATGTTTAGTAACATAAATAAACAAATATGGCTGAAAGTACAATCCATATCTCAATAATATCCCTAAATGTTAATGGCTTAAACTCACCAATTAAGAGACACAGGCTAGTAGAATGGATCACAAAACAAGACCCAAAAATATGCTGCCTACAACAGACACATTTGATAGGAAAAGATATACATAGACTGAAGGTGAAAGGTTGGGAAAAATCATATCACTCATATGGACTTCTGAAACAAGCAGGAGGGTCCATACTCATATCAAATAAAATAGATTTCAAAAGGGATAAAGAGGGACACTACATACTGCTCAAGGGAACCATACACCAATAAGACATAACAATCATAAATATATATGCACCAAACAATGGTGCAGCTATGTTCATCAAACAAACTCTTCTCAAGTTCAAGAGTCTAATAGACCACCATACAATAATCATGGGAGATTTCAACACACCTCTCTCACCACTGGACAGATCTTCCAAATAAAAGTTGAATAAGGAAAGTATTGAACTCAATAAAACAATTAATAACCTAGACTTAATTGACATATATAGAATATACCACACAACATCAAGCAGTTAAACATTTTTCTCAGCAGCACATGGATCCTTCTCAAAATAGATCATATATTATGTCACAGAGCAACTCTTAGACAATATAAAGGAGTAGAGATAATACCATGCATCTTATCTAATCATAATGGAATGAAACCGAAAATCAATGACAAAAGAAGGAAGGAAAAATCA